ACTCACCTCAGCCTCCCAAAGGCGCGGGATTACAGGCTGAGCCACCGAGCCGGCTAGATCATCTCATTCTGAATGGCCCCAGCTGAATTCTGAATGGGGCAGTTCGGAGCTTTGCGGACATTGGGTTGTCCCAAAAGCAAGGATCGTGGGCACGTGAAGGTGGAGCCCGGGCGGGGCCCCCAATGTCCCAGACATTCCCGAGGGGGGAGGCCCGTTGCGGATCTCTAGCCCGGCCTTGCTCCATTTTTATCTTGTTTTGTTTCGTTATAGAGATGTGGGGTACAAGTAAGGGTTAACTACACAAGCAGGCTGCCTGCAGGTGAAGTGTGGGCCTCCAACTGGCCCTCACTTCTCCTCCCTGGTGTTGTTACCTGCTCCCCACCCCTCCTCTCCTGGCTGTGCCCAATGACTGCCGCTCCCTCCCTTGTGCTAATGTGACTGATGTCCTGGGCCCACTTAGGAGTGAGAACGTGCGCATTCACTGCTCCATTTTTCCATGTTAACATTTTTTGCCTGAAGTGAACACACAAGGAATTTGCAGAAAAGCGGTTGTGCAGAAGGAACTTGGTCTGCTTAGTTTGGAAACTGATCAAGAGCCGTGACCAAGCCGGCACCACTGTGTTTGTGGCTACCACCCTGCTATCCCGCACCTGGGGGATTCAGACTGGAGTTTACATGTTGAAGTAGAATGTTTTATAAGCTCCTTTCCTGCTTTTTCTTCTGGATTCTCGTTCCCCTTCCTGTTCTTTTATATAGTTGGAGATTGGTGTTGGTTTTTTAAATTCTGCGTATAGGTAGGCGACATTATCTGAGAATTCGCTTCAAGAGAACCAGAGACCTGTTACAATGGTTATTTTGTTTCTTGAGTCAGTCTCACTCTGTCACCCAGGCTGGATTGCAGTGGCATGCTCTTGGTTGGCCACTGCAGCCTCGAACTGCTGAATTCAGGGAATCCTTCCACCTCAGCCTTCCAAGTAGCTGGAACCACAGGTACATGCCACCTTGCCCAGCTAATTTTTTTATTTTACTGTAAGAGATGAGGTCTCACCATGTTGCTCAGGCTGGTCTCGAACCTCTGAGCTCGGGCAGTCCTCTTGCCTCAGCCTCCCAAAGTGCTGGGATTATAAGCGTGAGCCACAGTGCTGGGCGGCACAATGGTTATTTTTTAAAGGCCTCGAGTCTGAGAGGGTGAAGAATCAGACCTAGTTCTCTCACCCACCTTATGAACGGGGTAACTGAGATCAGGAGAGTAGTAGCCATCCCTTTTCCCTGTTCTGGGAGACAGCCTCCCGTGGGCTTAGGCAGATCTGCATTCAAATACCAACTTTGTGCCTCTGTTTTCTCATCCTCAGGTGGGAATGAGGATGAGATAACGTGTGTCAAGTGCTAGTGCAGCCGCAGCACACAGGGCAAAGAGCCATTTGGACCTGAGATTCCCAGGCCAAGTCCTCTCCCTGCCTTATTGAGGCGTCCCAGTCCTGGCCCAGTGTGTAGTGAGGGCCAGAAACAGAAAGTGAAAGGAGCGAGAGGGGTCCTGCAGGCCTCCTGGCTTGCCTCACAAATTCCTCTGTGAACCCGCCCATCCTCCCTCCTCCCCCACCCCACTCCACTCCAGCAAGTCTTGTGCTGGGCCATCCGCAAGTCTCTGCCCCAGAGCCTCTGCACTTGCTGCCTACTCCCTCTCCAACCTCATCTCCACTGTCCCCTCCTGCCACCTGCCTTCTTTGATCTGTTTCTGGAAGTTTATTCCATAAGCTTGTTACCTTTACACTTGATGTTCCCAGCACCTTAACACCAATCCCAGCAGCGCCAGCTGGTCTCTTCATGTCCCAACACAAACACCATCTTTTCAGTGAGGGCTTTCCTGCTGCCCTGCCCACCTTGTCTCATCACCTGCCTTTAGTTGTTTTTTTTTTTAGACTAGAAAATATAGTTTACTTAATTAGAAAGCGAGAAGGAAGAGATTCACCTCCCCAAGGTAGGGGAGAGGGCCAAAGCCAGAAAACATGGCCATAGCTCAAAGAGCACATGGTGGCCACACCATAGCTTAGCAAGGCAATGGCTGCTCCCTCTCTTTAATTTACCGTCTTAGAGGTGACACCATCTATCACTGGTCTTGTGTCTTTCCCATCAGAACCCAGCTCCATGGAACAGGAAGAAGGGAAGGGCCGTGTCCAAGGCATCTGCAGCTGAGTCCCTGGCACCTGCAATAGTGAGGCTTGCCTCACCCAGACCCTATTTCCAACCTGGAAGCTATTTATTGCCCCGAGCCTCAACCTCTCCAGCAAAAAGCAGGGCTAATGATTCCTCCCTCCTCTCTCAGGCCTGTCCAGAGGAGAAAGTCAAGAGTAACACTGGAGGCAGGAGGGTCCCTTGAAACAAGGAAGTCAAAACCACCAGGGACAGAGGAAGACTTTGTCCCCAAAAAACAAAAAAACGCCAGCATGGTGTGTGCCGTAGTCCCAGCTGCTCAGGAGGCTGGGGCAGGAGGATCACTTGAGCCCAGGAGGTCAAGGCTACAGCGAGCTATGATGGCACTACCGTATTCCAGCCTAGGCAACAGAGCGAGACCCTGTCTCTAAACCTAAGCAACAACAAAACAAACACTGAAGACAAACGGTGTTGTCTAAAGATAGTCCTGGGGGCACCTTGACGCCAGCTGAGACCACCAGAATAGGGTGGGCATAAGGCGTTTAAAGGTGGAACTCTCAGGCCGGGCTTGGTGGCTCAACCTGTAATCCCAGCACTTTGGGAGGCCGAGGTGAGTGGATTGCCTGAGCCCG